GGTACCGGTTCGACAGATCATCTGACACTCAAGTGGCCCAACTCGATCGAAAGCCCTTCAGGAGGGATCGCACGATGGGCACTGGAACTGCAACAGTTCGAGTTTGACGTTCACTACCGTCGAGGGAAGCTCAACGTCGTGGCCACACGACCACACTATCAAGGCATCCTCTAGAGACCTGTCAGCAAGCAGTGGTGGCCGAGAGGACCATGGGCGGTGTGAGGCGGCCACTAAGGTAGCCACCCCACAGTTCATAATTATAGTTGTAGGATATAAGTACTGTATAAGAATTGTTAAGGCAAGGTGCTGACGTATTAAAGTCAGTTAAGGGCAAGGAGCCCTGCATAATTTAAGTTTGAATTTAACCGCCGGCCGCCGCAGCAACCGTGCGTTGCCGATTGGTTGCTTAACACCGTCTCGAGAGCGCAGCTTCAATTCGGCGGCGAAGAGCGAAAGCTCCTTAGCTCAGGGAACCGAGTAGGGTAGCGCCTAATAAATAAGAAACAGGGGGTATGAATAAAAATGAAGTTAGTAAAGAAAATCTGCTACTTATTTTTATTTCTTATTAGGCTTATTCTCGAACATTGGCATTAGCCGATGTTCAATATAACCCCCTTTCCCAATCTAAAGTGCAGTGCAGCTATTGCACGGTGGTGTAGGCGGTACGAGGCTATTGCCCCGTAGTGTAGGTGGTACGAGGCTATTGCACGGTAGTGTAGCAGGTGCGAGGCTATTGATCGGTAGTAGGTGGTTTGAAGTTGCTGTCTGGTAGTGTGGGTGGCTCGAAGCACTTCCTCTCCTGGTCTAAAGAATGCGAGAATGCGCATATTGCTGCATTGACGACATATTAATCATGTCTAATTCAGTTGCAGAGCATAAGCAACATTTCAATCAACCTGAGAAAATGCCACCTTGCGCAATCAGAAGTTCAATTTATCAGCTACGTTGTCAACGAACACGGAATCAAACCGCAAACTAGCCGAATTGACGCCGTTCTCAAATATGGTTGTCCTGATACTATCAGCCAACTGAGTCGGTTTCTTGGCATCATCAACTACTACCGTAGATGCCTGCCCCATTCGTCGCACACTAAACTAAGCAACGCAGAAAAAGCTACAGTGCATACGATTGATGCTATCAATTATTCTAAACACTGGCTCGAAGCACGAACGTTTATTATAAAAACTGACCACAAGCCTCTGATATATGCTTTTAAGCAACGAGCTGATAAAGCCTCATCTCGTCAACTTCACCAGCTAGGTTTAATTTCACAATTTTCTACTACATTATACTACTACATCATTCATCTTAAAGGAACAAACAACACAGTTGCATACGCTTTTTCGCGGATTTGGGCGATTTCCATGCCAGAGGCCGTGAATCTAGAGCAGATGGAGGAAGCGCAAGCCGATGACCCAGATCTAGCAGACCTATTGCAAGGAAACGATTGCACAAGTTTTTTGGCCACAATGAATATCGCGTTTCGGAGCACCTACAACCATAACAACGGATCAAGGCAGTCAATTCGAATCCTCTTTGTTGAAGGAACTTGCTCATCTATTCAGTAGCGAACTGAAGTGTGTATATGCCTTGAAAGAACATGCCTGTATTCAAATAAAAAGTATGCGGCACTTTGTCGCATACAATAACAATTATACATTAATACCACTGGCTATCATCCACAATCAAACGGACTTCTAGAGAGGTGGCACCGGTCTTTGAAAGCAGTTTTGATGTGCCACTCGGATACTCCATGGACTCAACTTCTGCCAGTAGTGCTTATAGGACACCTGCTAAAAGCAAGACTTGGATTCGTCAGTTGCTGAAATGTTGTATAGCACACCCTTCAACTTTTATAATCACTTTTCGTGATCAAATGCGAAAAATACTCAAACTGCTCAGCATGTCAGCCAAAAGTTGTTTCTTCTCAAAAGATTGATGCAAGCATGTCCTCATTTGGACAGACGCAGTCAAGCCTCCGCTGGTGCCCCCCATACGGGCCCTCATAGTCATTCAACGCCAGAGCGATAGTCTATAAGCTGGAGATCAACGGCAAGAAAGTTGCGGTTTCGGTGGATCGGCTTAGACCTGCATTTATTGACAATGAGGACATACAAGGAGAGTCGCAGCGCAGCAAACCTTGGACCTATGAATAGCAGTTTCGTGTACGTTTTTCAAATTCGTGACGTAGACACTAGAGAGGTAGTACTGTGGCGGCAATTTAATACACCATCTGTTGTTCGTAGCCTAACAAAATATAAGATTAAAATTAATTGATATCGAGTAAGTTTAGCCGATTGGTATCCCTGGCACTCATTCCTACGATTCTGGTGAAATAGAGGAGATAGCTCAAGATTAATATACATATCATTTTGAAACAATAAAGAACATTAACAAACTCTTGTGGAGTAATCCGTATGATTTTTAGCCTTAACCTTCAAAAGACATGTGTTTTTGTTAGTTTGAAAAAATGGATAAAAGGAATTTCGTATGCTAATAAAGCATTGCTTTTTGGTGAAAAAAAATGGACTCTGCACCAGGAAATTCAACTGTTGAGAACTGGTTCCAAGCTTAAACGAGGCGAATTGAGTACCGAGGACGATGCACGCAGTGGACGCCCCAAAGAGGCTGTTACCGAGATCAAATAAACAATAACCCATTTAGCGACACTTTGTTGCTGAACATAGCGCAACTAAAGTGCATTCGAAATATGATCGTCCACTCATAAGTGGCGTAACCATAGCGCAGATTATGCTGTACTCAGCGACTGAGACTTATATACAAAAACTCTAATGTTAGACTTAAGAACAAACATATAATTGAACGACACATCAGTCGAAGAAAGATCATCAACGTCTTAGGATGTATGCCAATATACGATCAATTAAAAGAAAACTGTTTGATTAATTTTACATGGCGACCGTGACAGTAGTTTGTTGAAATTGTGGTGAAAAAAAAAATTTTCAAAAAATAATAATTAAAATAAATTATTAATAATGCATTATGAGATTGCATCAAACAAAGATTGATTAATTTTACACTTTCAATGACGCCAATGATATGAACGAAAATTGAAATATACATTGTGAAGCATGTTTTATAAGTCGAAAGTGACAAGCAACAACATCAACAACAACGAACAAAATCTGACTCAACGACAACAACTGAGAAAGCAAATTTAACAACAACAGCAGAAACAACTTAACAGATGACACGAACGTGTAAACCAAAGACAGCCTGTGCGATGACCAGCACCGGCACCGCCTGAGCTTATAGGCCCCGGACAGCAGCAGCAGATACCAAAAGTGTGAGAGGCAGTCCGCCCTTTGCACCAACGCGGGAACGCTGGACTGAAAGAGGCTGCTCCTGTTGAGCAAAGGGATGCACCCAGCCTGCAAGACGCTTTAGAGGTGTACCCCAACGGTGGACCACGCCCACTCACAATAGCTGAGTACCGGGCACGACAACAGAAGAAGGATTAGAAGAAAACCAAAAGAAGTGGAAGAAGGATTAAACTGCTTCAACAAAGAATACTCCTACAGGATCTTATCAAGACAGCGACAACGCCCCAGGAGAGAAATGAACAAATAAAGAATCTCGAAATCATCGAGAAACAACTTCGTACTGTTGCGAAGCAACGCAATAAGGGCTGCAAACCTTCCAATGCCTAAATTGCCCTTAAATATAAACTCTAATTCAAGCCGATGACCGAAAGCGCTACTTGAAAAGTACTAAAATCTGTTAGGCTTTTTACTAACACATACGGTTGGACTATTAATTGTATAAATAAAAATTGTCAGCCAACCGTATGCCCTAATTAACACAACTTTTTTCTTCCTTTTCCTAAATCAGTTTAAAATTGAAATTTACAATTATTGAACAATTATCATACACAAATTATTAAAAATACCAGAAACTAAAGAAGAAAAAAATAATTTCTATTCAAAAAAAGAAGGCCATTGAAAAAATGATTAAGATCATTCAAGATATATATATGTATATATAAAAGACCCGAATTTTCGAATAAACGCGTTAAGTCTAGTTAAGTTCGTTCGCTTCGTGCATTTGGTACGCATTGCATTATCAAAACACTTGCATTATCAAAACATATTAATTTGTCGCAATTATCGCTTTGCTAAATTCGGCACGAACGAACTCGGGTTCGCTTGCCATTGCAAAACTATTGTTCTTAAATAATAAACACAGACCAATTCGGGTCTGCCTGCTTATCGTAACTTATAATAAATATATTCATAAATTGGAACAAAAGAAATAAATTAATGTTATTTATTTCTATTTGTGAAAGTTATTTAAAAAGCTCAATAGCGCAACATTTTGGTGACCCCGACGTGATTTTTGATGTTGTTACATTATTTCTTTAATGTAAAGCAACAAACTTAAAAGATCAGCAACCTGACATTTCTTTTTTTGCGGCTTATATACAAATAAGCAATCGCCGTCGCTTTACTTACTCTCTCGGTCGCTCCACGGTTTTTGTTCTTTCGTGCGTAACTTATGTACAAGCTATTGCCGCTGCTTCGTTACTTAGCTCGACACTGGCGTCCGAACACCGAACAGATAGCTGGATGCATCATTGTGCAGATTATCCTACAAAAGCTGGACCCAACATCACAAGCCAAGTGGGAAGAAAGGCTAGAGGATTCGACGTTCGTTCAACTTGATACCATCGTGGGAGCATATGGCTACGTTTCTGGAGCAGAGATGCCGAACAATGAAAACCGTAAATTTTGCTATGGCAAGCTCTGCCCCTAGCCATCAGGTGGAAAAACAAGAGCAATTCACAACTAGATCGTCATTTATTGCCACTAACCACGACGCCCCTGTCTGCGTTTTTTGTGATTGCTCTGGTCATGGCATATATAATTGTTCCCGTATTACGGCTTAGGGATAAAGTCTCTTTCGCTAAGTGATCGTTATCTACCTCTACCTCTCTTGTTGCCCAGTATTTCAATAGTGATGTTGTCCTCTTGGCTACTGCTATGGTGTTCGTTAAAAATCGCTCCGGCACTTGTCGTGCCCTTTTGGATTCCGGCTCTCAGCTTCACCTTATAACGTCTCGCCTTGCTCAACAGCTTCAGTTAAAGAAGCACAAGACCTCAGCCATTGATGGGCGCCTGAAAAACTCTTCGCTGGATTTCGAAGCTCGCCATCCAATAATTCTTCCGCGGCATCATCCCATCACAGATTCACTCATGACAAGGTTTCACAATCAGGACTTACACGCGGGTCTACGGGCACTTCTGGCTCATATTCGGTTGCAGTATTGGCCGATTGGTGGAAGGAAGACCGTATCCAAGGTGGCAAATGTGTGAGATGCTTTCGTGCCAGGCCACCATTAGTAGAGCATATAATGGCTGATCTTCCCAAGGAACGTTTGAC